TCCAGTTCAAGATTTTTCATTTTTTGATTGAATTCGATCTTTGAACGTAGAACGCCTGAAACCCTAGGAGATGTGCCAAGGATACTCTGTAAATATCGAAATAAGTGAAAAAACCGCGTGATAGTGATTTCTGCAAACTTTTTTTATTGTTAAGAAAGCTGTATGCACAGCCTTACCAGGTCATATTTGCTGAAATTCACTGAAACCGTAAAATGGTTCTGAACTAGCTGCTTCGATATTTCAGTGATCCATGAAAACGAGATACGACTCTTGAATCGTGAGTTATTCTAGCTTATATTCAGACTTCAGAAAGTTTATTCCTTTCTTTTGGTAACTGAGCACTCCTTTTTCAGATGCACAATCACAAGCAGTAAGACGAGTGCTGGTCTTCGTCAATCCGAACTCGGGCTCTGGAAAGAGCTTAGCCATGCTGCACGGTCGTGTCGAACCGCAACTGAAGAAAAATCACATCGACTACGACGTCATCATTACCAGTTCGTGTTTACTGTTATTGTATATATCCTATATTTATACTGCTGTATATTATTTATATAATACATAAGAAAGAGGTGGCCGAAAGTATAGGACGCGGCTTTGACCGCTTGCTGGCACTGAGCCGTGGAGTATTTTCAGAGTGTTTCGAAACTGGAAAGCTTTGAAACTATGTAAGAAGCACCATAAGTTGTTTGGTCCAAAGTTCATCTGAACTCTCGCCATGAAGATTTTTTTGCATCGACCCATTACCAAGAGGCTGCCCAATGACGGTCTCTGAAATTGCAACTTCGGAAGGCGACTCCGGTATCAGGGTGAATATCGGTCGAGGAAATCCTCGACAGGGGGGTCGTACCTGTTGGGCTGGTCCATGGGGGGTCGTACTCTTGGGGGTCAGTAACAGAAGTGGTATCATGGTGCAGATAGGTAATAGGGTATAGCGCAGCAGAAAATGAAAAACATCCGAAAAAAAACATGATATTAAATTTTCTTTGCAGGTTCAGTCGCTCCATTCCTCCACCTTCATGAGAAGGGCGTATTTGAAGGCAGTACAAAGAATGAAAGTGCATCCCCGCAAAGAAGAGTGCCACATGTGCGCACGCGCTGCAAAGGCACCTCCTCCGCCTATCACTCGCTCCTTCTCCCTTAATACCTCGCTGAGAATGACGCTGTTGTTAGGGACCCTGTCGGAAAAACGACAACCGTGAAGAAAAAGCGCTGGGCAAATGAAGTTGTTTTTTAGGTTACAGGAATAGCACAACACACTATGTACTACAATACAGTTTCGTTCGAAGGTCCCCATCATATAACACCTTTCAATCGATTCTGCAACTGTGAGTGGAGGAGGGATGCATGGCTTATACCAATACCAAATCGGATGATGACGATTGCTCCTATTCTTATTGTTTGCGTTCAAAGATATTGTTCTAGACACATTCCGAGTGTTGCCAACGAGTCACACTTGCAATGGTGAATGAGGGAGCGGATTTCCAGGTGGCCGGATCCGACCTCGATAGATCCTCGACGCAATTATCTCTTCAACCAAAAAGCTGTAGAAGAAAACTAAACAGACCATCAGGAAGCGCAAACCTTCCGCTTTCCAAAACTATCTTCCTTTTTCAGGATCTTACAATATAAGAGATATATTGCTCTTGAAGTGGCAAAAACTCGCGTGAAAAAATTTCGGGCCTCCTCGACATTTACTCGACGAAATTTGACAGACCCTATCTTTCTGCAAGGAAGGCTTCCAGAGCAATTTCGATGCTTGTTGGAAACGCGAAATCCAGCTCTATCTAACTCTACCTCAAGCTGCTTCAAAGGTTGTGAAATGGAGGAATGCAACCTTTTCATCGAGGGTGTAGATTCGGACGTTTTTTTTTGAAATTTCGGCAAATCTGACCCAGTGACAATCGCGCCGCAGCTGCCGTTGAATCGGCCTTTGATACACTCGGCTGTTTTGATATACTCAAGCAAGAATCAAGATTGAATCGCAACCCCGTGTCTTCAGGATTTCTGTGCGTTTCTGAACGAACCTCGCCTTGAGGTCACACAAAGTTAATGCCTCTTTCCTCGAGTCGATATTTCAGTATGTACACAAAAGTATGCAGCGATGGAAGACGTGCATAGATGACAAGATGAAGCGTCCTTAGCATTATTTTGCAGAATTTTTTTTGATTTGTTTTGCAGGATTTATTTTAATTGAATTAATTTGCTCTGTTAGAGGGGGTCGTGCCAGGATCTCGATTTCGGGGGGGGGGGGTCGTACCTCTGCGACCACGTACTCGACACGGCGCGATTCACCGCTGCATCACAGGGTATTTCCTCTCCGGCTCCTTGGAAAACATGTTCGATGCGCTCACGTTTTAATCACACTTCTCTGGGAGTGCGAAAAGTGGAAGTTCAAGAACTGTGCGCACTCAGAGTATTGAGGCAATCACCTAGAAGAGGATGGCTCACAACGGTGAAGTCTCAGACACGAGACGTCACCCTTCCAGAAATTGCTTAGGGAGTGTACATTATCATTGACCACACAGTGACCAGATTGCCGACTGCTTTTAAATAGCTGGATTCTTATCAAGAGCAACCACGTATAGATTCAAGGCTGATCAATGCACATAAAAAAACAAAGTTTCTGCATAGAAGACTCAGAGGTGCGCTGCCACACTTCTCTTTGAGATATGGCGTTGCAATAAGAAGAAACTTTTCGAAAACAATAACGTTCCTTTGCGTAACAACAATAAGTACAAGGAGGCACTTGGATTTGCCAGAAAGTTGAGAGCAAGTCTCCGAGATAATCGATATAATTTTTGATTAACACAACTTCCTCCCTGAAGGATGTAGGTAAAGTTTTGTAACGCGCCTACCAAAGTAAACATCAAAAATGCAGCTCCATTGAAGTTCATCTTCCACAAATGCTAAAATTAAGACTCAACGGCCTCATGCAAAAGACTTTAATGACGGTATACGGTATGTTGTTCTGGATTTACGAGCATTTTGCTTCAATGATCGTTTGCTCTTCAATGAAGCTGGGCTCTTCCTAATAACGCGTTCAAAGGAATCGACCAAAGCCATCCTGGGCGCTCACTTCCTGGGACCACTGGAACAAGGAATTGTGACCTCCTTCCTCTCAGGCCCTAAGTCCGATGGACTCCTCTACGTGAGGATGAATTGACAATATAACAAGAACCTAATAAGGGTCACTCCTCCAGCTCGCTGGGCGTGCTTTGGAGTTAAGAGCCGCCTTCGTAGAGGGATGGGACAATAAATCTTATACATTGGCTACCTGCGCGACCACTGCCTGATTTTATCATCGCTGTACGTTAGAAAGCGTGTCTCGTTTGAGCATAGTCCCAAATTCAAGAAGCCTTTCTGCGCAAGTGATCAGCTTGGGTCTGTGCGTGAAGTTGGAGGGGGGCAGGTCGGGGGGAGGGGTCACCCCGGAGCGCTGTTTCCTGATCAGAGCCTCTTTTCTTTGCTGTTACACACATAAAATGGCGTCCTTATACGTTTTCGGCGGCCGCCACACTGGTATTCGGTAAGCAATGCCACTGACCAGTATGGAGCAACTTTGTGTGCTTGAGTTCCATGAAAGTGGCGTCCTCTTATCGCAAATGGAACTTGCCGGCTGGGATAGATGAAGAGGTTCCCTTGGTCAGGGCGCGGTGGGGGGAATCGAGGTTTCAGTTTGCTTTCTCATTACTTTTCCAAGACAGCCGGCCCACCGATCTATACTCAAACTAAACATATATTTCACATACGCACACTCAAGTTGTTTTCATACCCACTCAGTCCACGACTTGCGATCGAGTAACCTTGATTATCTGTATTTCCTTCCATTTTTCGACTGTTTTCGCTGAGACGTCATTACGGTTCAATTCTGTTTTTTTGCGTTGAGAGTATGCTTATGCGGCGTCTTTATTAGCCACGTCCAACACGAGGTAATCACGGCAGACTCCGTTCAGCAAATTCTGAAACAAAAATACCAATTATCATTAAAAGGTAACAATGAAGAAGTTCGAACTAAAAAACATGAATGAACGCAAGGCGCCTCCACAAAAGATCGAAAAAGAGAGGAGAATGACACATATCAAGTTATCGATCGAGGAAAGGGTCGAACTGTGCGTCCAACGCAAATCGTGCGTCAGAGTGCCCGTGACGCCTTTTCACTCCTTCGCCGACTACGGTCCTTGCGTCGGACCCGGCGACAAAGCTATACAAAGCCCCAGCAAACTTAGGACGCAAAGCAAAGGAGATTCCCAATTGGCTTACACCATTGGGGCAGGCGCGGAGTTTGTGGGCAGAGTCACCCTGCGTTGCGCAGTTCCAACGGCACGTCGAGAGATCCTCTACGCACGCTGTATGGGCGGAGACACAGACGGCTCGAGCATGCGAGTGTGAATGTTCGCGCGAGAGAACGTGTCTAATCGGGCGAAACTGCGCAACGTGGCCGTTTTTGAAAAAGTCTGCCGCAACGCGAAGGGTGACTGCTGGTTGGTGGTTGCTGAGTCAGGGCATGTGCCATGCTCACGCAGATTTCGCGGTTCAGCCTCAAAAATTCTTGAGTTCTCGTGTCACGTACGCTCCATGACTTTGGGCGCCATCTTGGGCCGAGTGAAAGCATTGATTTTCTATCAAAGTGAGAAACATACGAGATGGAAGCATTGGAATTCAGGACGAGTCTAGCGTATCATCTTATGAATTAGATGGAAGCAGGCTCTTCGGAAATTGTTCCTTCGAGACACGTAATCAGAAGCGCACCCATTCCACAGTTCCTAAAAACTTTTCAGCTTTTGAATTCAGTAAATTACTAGAAGCGCGATCTCTGCCTTCGGTACTTGACTATTTGGTGATTCTATATCGGTATATTCTATTCTTATCTCAAGAACATATTCCCAATTTTCCTCTCTTTAGGAGAACGAGTGTTTCCATGATTCAGCAATTTACATATTTCCTTCAGGTGGCCCGAATCACGCAAAATCGGTGGTTCGATCAAGAGATGACCTTGGCAAGTACAATGGTGTGATCATTCTATCGGGCGACGGCCTCGTGTTCGAGGTAAATCACTAGAACATGACTGCTAATTGCGTGATTAAGTACAAAATCCGAGGCTACAAAGTTCGTTCGGCGTTCAGACAAACCATTTTAGCTCCACTGAACGTTTTCATCGAAGGGGGTAAGCACAGCGATTGTCACTTGAAGGAAATTTCCAAAATATGGGAAATAAATAGCTCTTCTGCGACATTTCCAGGGGGCCCAAAAAATGCTCCAATAATCGTGAATAAGACGACGTCATTGGCTTACGACTTTCCCGAGTACCCTTAAAGTTCTTTCCTTGGCTAATTCCATACTTTTTGGAAAATTGCCAGAGAAACGTCCGAGCTGGTTAGTTGTCCATGCAGAGTTTGTCCAGCCGAAAAAGCTTTCTACTTCTCAATCAATCACTGATAACCTTGAAAGGTCATCTTCAGATTACCCTTTCCTCAGTGTGACCGAATACAGGAAAATTGTATCATTTTCATAGATTGCTGTGCTCTATGACTCTGAGCAGACATTAGCAGTAAGAAAAAACCTTGAGGTGTCGTCTCAAAGCAGAGTGAACCGCCACTCCATTCCTGATGGAATCCTGCAGAGAGTGCTCTGACATTTAGATTGTATAGGATACTATCACAAGATATTTCGCAGAAATTATGCAATTTCTGCAAAGAAAAGTTTAGCGATTCCGTGCCGAAATGAGCAGAAATAAAAAGCTATAAAAAATCTAATTCTCGTTAAGAACACAAGTTCAGGTATTGAACGGATTTAGTGAGCGACCGGATTCTGTCACCATGATACCGTCGTTTCCTATAGGCATTGTACCAAGCGGATCAGGCAACGGCCTACTTTCGTCATTGTTCTACAGCCGAGGGTGAGCAGCTCATTTTTTGACAGCATCTCTCCTTTGGTTTTCGATTAGCAGAATGCACCACATTCTATTTACAACTATAGTATAAAGGGTGGCAACAATTACGGTAACAAAATCAATCGATCACAGAAAATCTATACAGCATGTAAATGACAATAATAAGACATCCTGGGTCGTGAGTCGCCCGGGCCAACCAAGCCTTCCATCCCTCCGGGGTCGGTTAATTGGTACCAGACTTGTCTGGGAGGATAAAAACACTGACTTGTATAATAAGACAATAATTAATTAATCG